GCAGCAACATGGTCAAACATACTGACGTCAGCATGAAGATCCCTTGAGCCCTGATTCTAAACCCTGTGAAGCTACACCCAGACCCCAAACCCTAAGCTCAATTGACATCCCAATCGGCTCTGTACTACCTTCGGTGCATGGAGCCCCCTAGTCGTAGACCCGTACTCCCTGCATCCCCAAGCCCCAAACCCCCTCTCTCTCGCTCTCTCTCTTTTCTCGCTCTCTCCCGAACGAACTTCGCGAGGTTACAAATCCTTTCCAGGGGTAGTGCCAACGATCCTTCTACTTGCACATGTTGAGCTTGCTGACACGGACCGTATCCCGACCCGGACAACGCGAGAAGCAGAGCGCAATCCGACGAACTGACCTCTCACTTCTTGTCATGGGCAGAGTAGGACCGACACCCGACATATTAAGACACTCGGACAAGGAGCCCCGTCCGAATGCTCAATCGCCTGGTTGTTGTCCTGACATGAGCAAACTCCGGAAAAGTCGGCGTGCGGGCATCTCTAATCCAACCAAGGCCTCTTCGAGAGCGAAGGGAGAGCCGAAGCCTCGGGTTGAGGACCACACATGCTCGGATCGCTTTCTGCATGCAACTGAGGCAAGCTCCTTCCTGGTCACTTTCGTCTTCGTCTTCGATCTGCCCAAAAACCAAGGAACTCGAAAAACTAGCTTCCTCATGAGTAACTGTCTTGGATGCGTGTCTGCTGCGTGCCGTGCAACCTGAAACGCATGCATCCGGTACATGCACCACGACACAAGGCCTCCAATTCCCTCAGGTAGACAGCATACTCCTTCTGACGACGATGCAAGGCACTCAGCACGCTTTCCACCTCGACCACGCGGCCAGGTGGGTGTCTTGTTCAAAACGCATACAAACATGACTGGCCAACCGAGGGGCCAGGATCACAGCCTCCTTTTTACCAACCGAGGCCAAGCGCTGCGTCATGACGAGAATCTCATCGGGGGTCACATGCCATTTGTGATCGATTCCATGTAGCCCCTGCTGGCCATCGGCTCGGGGCATGAACAGTTTGTCAACTTCCTCCTTCCACTTAGATGCGACCTGCCGTTTCGGCGTCTTCTTGGGGAGATTCCTCAAAGTGCTGGTAAGGGCAACAAGCAGTCGCGTGGTATCCACGGGCATGACCAATTGGTCAAACTGATCGAACCACAGCTCCGAGAACTCCTCCAAGGCCTCGCCGCAGGTTTTGCAAACAACACGGATCACAGGAAAAGGGTTTATGGTACATCCACAAACCACGAACATAAAACGACTGACATACACGTGAAGGAATGCTTCGGCTTGAGAAAGCTGCTACTCTGCGTGACTGCACGCGAACAACAGGGTTTACACCATGCCTTGTTCTGCTATAATCTCGGCTGCTGACAAATGTCGACGGTACTGCTTGGCTCATATGCTCTCTATTTTGAACTCGACAACCGATGCGCGTATCAATGAGCATGCCAATAAGGGAACGTGTATAGAGGGGTACAACATCAGACCAGGCTTCCTTTGCGCATTCTCTCTAAACTCCCCTGTTACGGACCAAACCCGGACCACTGACAGCTAATCACCACCACCACCACCACCATCACCGCCACCGCCACCGCCACCGCCACCGCCACCACCACCACCAACAAGAACAAGAACAAGAACAAGAACAAGAACGAGAAACAGAACCAGAACAAGAACAAAAAGAATCAGAACAAGAATAAGAATAAGAATCAGCAACAAAGTCAGGGTTTAGGGCCTATTGCGTTTAGGTTCCACAGGGTCAGCACGACCCATTTTGAAGACTTGCCCGTGCCGTGTGTCAGAGTGCGCGCGTCAGAACTTAGCGACATACCAGCTGGTAGTGAGATAGCAGTCCTGGGACATGACTCTTCTGAAAAACCCTGAATGCCCTAAACCCTAAAGAACTGTGAGAGCCGAAACCCTGAACCCGTATTTCCAGATTTATGAAATTTGGGAAACCCGAAACCGTGGACTTGAAGAGTCCTAGACCAAATCCCTGAGTTTTTGACCTAAACCCCAAACCCTGCCCGGACCTTAAAGCCCTAAAAATTGCTACGGCTCAAAAGATTTCTCTCCGAAGACTTTGGTTTCCTTCTCCTTTGGAGAAGATGTCCAGGGCTGGTGGAAGAGGTCCTGCCGACCCCGAGCAGGGTGGCCCTCTTTGATTGGGAGCTGGCGGCCCCAAGGCTGGGGCTCCGAACCCGGGCAGCGGATGCAGCAAACACGCTGGAGGAAGCCCTTGGACCCAAATGGGGGTGGGAGCGCAAAGCGCTCTTCAGGCTTGGCAGGCTCCGAGGCAGCCTGTCAAGGTCCTCCTGACCGGAGTCCCAGAAGGGAGCGGGAATCCCTGATCCTCAAATTTTTGGCTTAAACCCCAAACCTGCCTAGATCTTGTAACCCTAGACCCTAAACCCTCCGGGAATCGTTCGACACAACATTCATTCGCACGCAGCGGAAGACGATATCCTGGGGTGAAAAGCTTCCTCGCTTTGCGAGTGTTCGACCTATGTTACTCTACTGACGTTGTTCGGTGCGGGCCCGTCTCAGCCGCGTTGCTGACCGTGCCTCAGCACTGCGCCAGCATTCGTCTCGCCTCTGAAGGCTGCAGACTACGCTTTTGAGAGGCTTATCGGCTCAGGAC